TAAATAATGTTCAAATAACCCAAAAGAAAGCAGAAAAGGGTAAATAAAAATGTGAAGCAATCAGTACTTCCATTCACTGCTGATAGGAATGTAAGCTTTTAGAAAACTGCCAGTTTCTTAAAAAGTGAAACATATACCTAGTCATTCCACTGCCAGGTATTCAACCAAGAGAAATAAAAGCATATGCCCATACAAAGACTCGTGCATGAATCTTCAGAGCAACTTTATATGTACTAGTCCCAAAACAACTCAAATGCCCATCAACAAATGAATGGATAATGAGTCATGGTATATCCACAAAACGGAAAACTCCTCAGCAATAAAAAAGAATGGATACATGCAACAGGATGGAGAAATTTCAAAATAATTATTCTGAGTGAAAAAAACGCTAAGAAAAAATAATTTCATTTATATAAAATTCTGAAATATACAAACTAATCAATAGTGACAGAAAGCAGATCGGTAGTTTCCTGGAGTAGAAAGAATGTGAAACAGGGAAAGAAGGGAGAAAAGGGATTACAGAGCCTTGATGAAATTTTGGGGCTTATGGATGATTGTTATCTTGATTATGGTGATGGTATCAAAAGTGTATATATATGTCAAAACTCATCAAATTGTATACTCTAATGTGCAGTTTAGTGTATATCATTGTACCTCAGTAGAGTTATAAAATAAAAAAGGAGGGTATGAATTATAAACATTGCATTTTAGTGTTCATGTCTTTGCCTGTAGTCAACGACAAGGAAGAAACTGGGGCAAATGACAGTAGACATCTTCTTTGAATAAAATAGGACTGTATGTTTGTTTAGTTAAGCTAAAATATCATTAAAGAGGGGAATCTTAAAAAAAAACTACCTTAAACAGTTTAACTTAAATATACAAGCAGTCCTTATTTTGCATTGTCTGATACACACGAACTTCAGTTACCATGATTTAGTTAATACCAGACCACGACAACATGGTTCAAATCTCAGTTACCATGGTATATTAACTGTGAGTAATAGCATAAAGCGCAGTGTTCAATACTTGCTTTTCAGTCCACAAGATACTATGAAAATAACATGTACATTAAAATTAGTGAGCACTTTGCATGACTTCTTTCAAAGTCTGCAGATGATCACTGTGCATTTGTTATTCAGTTCACACACAGCATTTAGTTTTGTTACCTCTGTGCCCCTGAGATAAACCCACAAAGAATTCCACAAAAATGGATAACTGAATGGGGGAATTGGCAAACATAACTAAAGTGCACAAAAGCAACACAAAGTGATGATACTGGAAGTGAAACTCAAATTGAATGTAAATGGAATTACAAAAGAAATAGCTCACTGCATGAATGTTGACATTGCTGCCATTTTAGAAACTCTAGATATGCAGACTGAAGAGATCAATGAAGGTGAACTTATCGACATAAATGAGGTAAAGTGTTTGTGATGAAAATGCTGAATATGTCCCAGAAGAAGTGATGCTGGCAGAAATCTTCACATTAAAAGGACTCTCAAAGACTTCCCTGGTGGTCCAGTGGTCAAGACTCTGCACTTCCAATGAAGGGAACTAAGATCCCGCATGCCGCACCACATGGCAATAAATAAATACATAAATAAATACATAAATGAATAAATAAGAGAACTCTCAGAGATATTTCAAGCTATTGAGAATGTAAAGGATAAAATGTTGGAATCTGACACAAATTTAGAAAGGCGTGATAATTAGCCAAGGTAAAGAAAAGATGCTCAACTTTTAAGTTGTACAATGAGAAGACAAGCACTGCTCAAACTACTCTTGACAAGTTTTTTTTTTAAACAAAGAAATATACTTTGGTTCTCATCATTTCTAATATTTTATATTACACAGATAACTGATAGTGACTTCTAGTGTTTCAAAAAAATTTTTTAAAGGTCATAAAACAATTTGAATTTTCCTAATTATTAAGATAACTTTGCATAGGTTTTAGCTTACACAATCAGTTTTATGGATGTGCACTACTATGCAAAGCAAAGACTGTCTGAATATTAGCTAATTTTCTGAAGAAGAATGAAATGTGCTGAACAGAGGGCCATATCATCTTTCTTCCATAAACCATACCCATATTATATATAGTCTATGATTTTCAGGGATTGTTAAAATTTGTTTTTTATTTATTAATTTATATATTTTAGATGGGTGAAAATTTAAGACATATGCAAAGCAACTGAATATGGAATCTAAGACATATGCAAAGCAATTGAATGTGGAGTCTTTCTCAAGCAATGGTTCTCAATTCTAGCTATACATTACAATCAGCTAGGGCGCTTTAAAAAATTCCATTGTCCTAGACCAATTAGACTAGAATATATGGGGTTGGAACTATAGCATGAGTATTTTTTCCAAATACCCTATGTTATTTTAAATATTCTGGCAAAGTTGAAAAAGACTGTTTCATCTTTTTACACTTTCCCCAAATCTTTTATAATAACTGTCTCAATCATATCTCATTTTGTTTTAAGCCATTTGTTTGCAATATTTCAAAAGTGGTCCATTTAGTTTTGAAGAATAGCAACTTTTGTATTCATACTTCATCAGCTCACACTAAAATGACATCATCAGAATAATAAATAATATTAGCATTAATAGGGTTAGGGAGAAATAATGACTTTTGATAAGCACAGAAAGCAATTGGTAGGAGAGATGTGCGTGGGATTACTAGAGTACAGGTTTGTAACCAGAAATGTTAAGTATGCTTGGGGAATCAGTGTTTTACAGAGGAAATGAAATCTATTTACAGATGGATTAATCTGGCAATTTGGGTAGGAAACCTTCACTGTTTTGAATTTTTATTTCTTTTAATGAAGTAAGAGGTTTAGGTCACAGAATTTTGACTGTGCTCAAGAGCTATACTTAGTTGCTTCCTCAGACCAAGGAATTTTTGGAATTAAAAGACAAGAAACCAAATTTTTCAGACCCTCAGTGGTGCACACGATTTACATTATTACTGATATAAGACCTCTGGTCATATGAGGGAAAAAAGAATAATGCTGCTTCTTTTCAAAAAAGTACTGCTACTGTCACTGAAATTAAAGATAATGGACAACGTCACTCATTTTCCAAACTTTACTTCACTGATCATTAGGGAAGAATTGCAGAACTACTTGATGGAAACAAGCCACAAAGTCAAAGCAGACTGACAAATTTAAGCAGACTGACAAATTTTGATACATACAAATTTTGCTTGATTTCTTGCAGACACTGGAATAAAAAACTCTGGATATGCCTGTATGCTTTTGTTAGAGTGGATGACCTAGCTGAAAAGGAATTACTGTCAACTGTGCACTAACGGGGGTTGGAGTACAGTAGGAGATGCAACCCCAATCATGCTTAAAACTAACCAAAACATGGTAAAAAAAATTAATACTCTCTTATTTGGTTAAAACTGTATGCACTATCTAGAAACATATTTACCCATTCTAAAAGCATAATACTAAAATGTAAGGATAATACATCTTAGAACACAAAACATCATACAAATTGTGCCAAACCCTCTTCTAGGCAATGGGAATACAGGGTTTTAGAAGACAATATACAGTAAAAAAATAAGTATATAATACAATTTCAGTGGCAATAATTGAACGAAGAAAATAGAGCAGAATAATGGGATGGAGAACCATTGAGAGCAAAGGAGGGATTCGGGGGCAGCAACTGACACATTTGATGGCTCCATCTTCAAACACTCTTCCCTCAGCATCCATGATACCTTACCACCCTGGTTTTCCTTCAATCCCTCTGGTTACTCCTTTTCAGTTCTTCTGCAGTCTCATCTTCTGCCTAACTTTAAGTGTTGGTATTTTTCAGGTTTGTAATCACTGAACTGCTTCTCTCTTCTTACTCCACAAATAGTGCCTGGGTGATCTTATGTCCTTCTCACTTCACGTATCATCTTGCATTAAACAATCTAAATTTCTCCCGAGCATCAAACATATACTATATGCAACTGTGTCCTGCACTCTCCAAGTGAAATTTTCACAAGTTCCTTGAAAGCAATATGGGAAAAGTCAATATGAACAAAATTAAAGTAAAACTTGCTCCCTCTTTGGGGAGAGATGTTACCATCATTCACCCTGACATACAAGGCACATAACTGGGAATCACTGCAGACTCTTCCTTTTTCATCATTCATTATATCCAATTAATCTCCAGGGCTGGTTGATTCTATTTCTTAGATTTGTTTCAAATATCTTCACCCTCTTGGTCCCAACTGCCAGGTCCCTGGCTCGGGCTTCCATCAACTCTCTCCTTGCAACAGTTACCTAACTTGGCTCCCAATCCTGCTCTCAACTTCAATCCATTCTCTAAGCAGATGACAAAATGCAACAGTTGTCACCTTATTCTCATCTTCTTACCACTTAACCAAGCATACAAGGCTCTTCCCCATCTAGCCTCCCCTACTTCTCCAGCTTCATCTCTTGTCAATGGCCCTCTCTCCACAATTCTCTGCTCTAGTCGTGCTAAACTTTGTTCAATTCCTGGCCTATGCTCCGCCTTTAACATATTGCTTCGCACATAGTAACAGCTCACTAAATACGTTGACTAAATGAAAGAACGAATTCTTAGAAGATAGTTATTCCTTGGGAATCGGGGAGAAGGAATAAAGTAAAATGAAAATATCCTCATTTAGATTTATAGCGCCCTCACTCGAGCCCGCGTGCGCACCCACCTGCCTACAGGTATATAAAAGCTATCCTATTTTCTCGAGCCACAGAACAGAAGAGAGAGTAAAGCCCAGTTGTGGTGGAGGAATGTGGTAACGAGGTGGCCAAGTGTGAGGCAAAGCTAACACAGCCATTGGCCCAGATCATGGCTCACGAGCCTAGTCGCTCCGCGGCATGTGGGATCTTCCCGGACCGGGGCACGAACCCGTGTGCCCTGCATCGGCAGGCGGACTCTCAACCACTGCGCCACCAGGGAAGCCCCACTGGCCCAGATTTTAACCGGAATATTAGATAAAAGAATAAGATTTTCTTTACCTTCGTGTGGACTCTGCTCTCCGAAGGCGAAGAGGGTCGTCTAAACCCGCTTGTCGTGCCAACAAAAACCCTAGCATCCCGTCCCTTCACACCGGCTTGTGAACTGGACGGCGCCATGACAGAACACTGAGGCTGGGGTGTAGAGCGGAGTCTCCCATTGGTCAAGCATGATGCCACCTGGCCAATGGGGAGCGTCGTTACTTGAGGGTGTACAGAAGGAGATGGGTGGTACTCCTCTGAGCCAGTGGGCTGGATCAGCTGCCTGGGCTTTCTCGCTTTGGTCTCAGGGATCCCGGGCGGGTCACTACACGACCCGTGCTGGAGCCGGTGGGAAGGCATGGGTTGGTCTCAGAATTTGTTCCGTGTCTTGTGGAGAGCGCTGTCAAAGGAAGTGAAGGAGCAAGTGGGCACAGACCGGTTCGGGAACAAATACTACTATATCCCAGAGTACAAGAACTGGAGAGGTGAGATGAGAGCTAGGGCAGCGGTTGGGGGGTTGAAAAACGATGTGCGGCACTTGTAATCACCAGAGTAGACAACCCGAGTTCGTTCTCCCCACAGCCTTCTCTACTCTGGCCGCTGACTTTCAGACGGGCTCTCGGTGAACGGCCCGGCGGGTGCCCGCCGCCCCTGCGCCGCAGCGCCCGTGTCCTGAGCCCGGCCGCGGCCACGCTAGCGTTGTATCTCCCATCGCCGAGAGCCTCGCCGGCGGAGGACCGCCCCCTCTACCCGCCTCGGTGTGGGTCCCTGAGGTCGGGCGACGTAGACGGGGACAAGTCCACGGACGTCTTTTACCAAAGGTTCCCGGGAGGGGTAGGGAAGTGCCTTTCCTCCTCCCGTGACCCTCTGGCGCGGGGCTGGCGCGGGGTAATTGAAGAGGTGTATTTTGAGCGCCTCTGCTCTCCTCTTTCGTGGTGTTGACCTTTTTCAGTGGCTCCGGCGTTGGCCCCAGGCGTCACTTTCCTCAAGGCCAAAACTATCAGAAGTAGGGCCATGCACGCTGACTGTGGAAAAGAGATCCCCGCAAAGCTCCACGTTACCTTTCCCATAAGTTTGCACTCCCAAGACCCTGTTGGGCTGACTTGAAGATACAGGGCGCTAACTGTGTTTCTGTATAGGAATCTTGCGAAGTCTTGATGTTTGGGGAGGTAGGGGCCGTTGCTGGTCTTTGAGATCACACCACGTGGCAGTCGTGGTAAACTCTTCTGTGTTGTTCCAGCGCCGCGACGCAAAAGATCTCAGGCTTTGGGGTCAGAAAGGCATGGGTTAGAATCTCAACTTTGAGATCTCATAACTGAGGGATCACAGACAAAGTATTTGTCCCCCGCAGGTCTCAGTATCCTCACTTGAAAGTTAGAGATAATAATGATAGCAATAATATTGAGAAACACTAAGACCTTTCAAAGTTGTGTTCCATTCATTTCCCGTAACTCTTGACAGAGGGCATTTCTTCTTCGTAGAGCATATGTAAAGGGTATTCCTTGATTTATTACTCAAAATTGTTTTGCCTAGCCCTTTTCTGTAACTTATTTTAATATCTTAGACTTGTTTCCCTAATGAGCATTTAAACTCTATCAGGGCAGGAAATAAGTCTTAAAAGTCCACAAAGAACCTAGAATGGGGGTGAAGTGTTTCTTGACAGAGGAAGCAGAGGGAGAAAGTTTCTTTTCCATAAGGTGTCAGATAACGTTAAAAAAATATGAAAAACATCAGATTGACCTTTTTAAATTGAAGTATAATTTACATACAGTAACGTTCATCCTTTTTGGTGTATGGTTTTGATTTTTGACAAATGCATACTCTCATGTATCACCACAATCAAGATATAGAACAGTTCCATCACCCCCAAAAGTCCCTCCTACCCCTTAGTATTTCATTCCCTCACCCTGCCCTTGACAACCACTGATCTGTTTTACGTTCCTACAGTTTTGCCTTTTCCAGAACATCATGTATAATAAATGGAGCTATATTGAATACAAGATGCAGTCTTTTGAGTCTAGCTTATTTCACATGGCATAATGCAGTTGAGATTTATCCATGTATCAGTAGTTCCTTTTTGTTACTAAGTAGTATTCCCTTCCATTATATGGGTTTACCACAGTTTATTTATCCGTTCACCAGCTGAAGGACATTTAGGTTGTTTCTACTGTTTTCAGTGATTTTGCAAAAAGCCTCTATAAACATTCACATATAGGATTTTGTGTGAACATAATTTCTCTAGGGTGAACAGCTAGGAGTGGAATTGCTGAGTTGTGGGTAAATGTATATATAACTAACTTTATAAGAAACTACCAAACTGTTTTCCAAACTGGTTGAAGCATTTTTCATTCCTGCCAGCAACACATGAAAGTTCTAGTTTCAAATTCTCACCAGCACTTGGTTTTGTCAGTTTTTTTGTTTTTATTTTTATTTTAGCCATTCTTATAGGTAGATAGTGTTATCTCATGGTTTTAATTTTCATTTTCCTAATGACTGAGGATGTTGAGAATCTTTACATGTGCTTATTTGCCATCCATGGATCTTTGGTGTAGTATCTGTTCAAATCTTTTGACCATTAAAAAAAAATTTGTATTCATTTCATTGAAAATACAGTATCATTAAAGAAAGACAAATTTATGAAATCATGTGCATTCTAAAATGGTATAATTTGTGAGGCACAGGTAATGTTTATCTCATAATTTTATTATTATAATACCAAGTTGTTTTCCAAAGTGCTTATGCCAATTTATGCTTCAATTAGCTTGATATTTTGAATCCATGTACTCTTGATTGTGAGAAAATCAGGCTTTTACCAATGATGTAGTAGAATCAATGTATGCTGCTGTCTAATGTCTCTGTGTGTCTCAGTTCTTAGATAATTGAGGGCTGTGGTACAGATGTGTTATACAGTCTATAAGTACCATTACACATTTCCTAAGCCTTCTACTATAAAGCAAGGGAAAATATTTTTAGTTTGTTTTCAAGCAAGTTTTCAAAAAATAAGTCATCTAACTTTTCTATTTCCTTGATATGAAAGGTGGCTCTTTAGAGGTCTCCTTGAGTTTTCTTTGAGTTGCATAATTGAACACCATCAATGAAGAGTGTTTAAGAACCCTTTAGAGGAAATTAATTTTTCTTTTAATTCAGTTAATTACTGTGGTGCCAGTCATCAAAGAACTACTATATTTTCCACATAGGGTTTTATTTAATAAGAGAAAATCTGTTGTTACGTAATTCAAAATAAGTCTTGAGTATTATCTAGTCAGCTGAATTTAAGTTTAGAACTGTGGAAATTTTAACTTTTTTTAAGAAAGCATATTGGCATTTCAGGATAAAAAGATTATGAGTATAGCATGTACTCAGCACTTTTAATAGCAAAGTGTTGATCGACATCTTTTTATTGAAAGTTTGCTTGCTCTATAGTAGATTATTTAGTAGAAGATTCCTCAAGCTTGGTCTAGAAAATTCCTTAGTTATTGCACCCTTCTTATTTGTAATTTCCCTGAGTTTTTATCCATACGATTCCATTTATCTCATGTTTCAAAAGGTAATTCTCTTCCTTTCTAAGATAAATTCTTGTATTTGTATACTTGATTCTGACTGGAACCTCTTTGAACCTTGTTTCATTATTTTCACCTCCTTTTGCACATTTATTAAACATCTACACTCCTAAAACTAACAAATTTGTTAACTGAAGAACTATTTTGAGTTGTTATTTGCTAATTGACATTGTGAATGTCCAGATTTTGGGGGTGGGGTGAATATTATGCATAATATGCAAAAACACCTGTTTGGAGTATTGTGTTTGGTTCTGGACACCACAGTTTAGGAGAGATGCTTGAAAATCTAGTGTCCAGACAGGGATAGTTATGATGATAAAATTTTCTAGAAATTATATACATGAGTATTATTAGCTGTGAGTCTTGAGGAGGTTTACCCTTTGAAGAGAAGATTTACGAGGAACTTCAAGTATATGAAAAATCGTGGTATAGAAAAGGATTAGGCTTGGGACTTACCTGGTGGTCCAGAGGTTAAGAATCTGCTTTCCAATTCAGGGGATGCAGGTTCAATCCCTGGTTGGCAAACTAAGATCCCACATGCCACAGGCCAACTAAGCCTGTGCACTGTGACTACTGAGCCCCTGCGCCATAACTAGAGAGCCCAAGTGCCGCAACTACAGAGCCCACACACCGCAACTAGAGAGAAGCCTGCACACCACAATGAAAGATCCAGCATGCTGCAACTAAGACCCGACACAGCCAAATTTTAAAAAAGATAAAAGGAAAGGATTAGGCTCATCTGTATAGCCTTTTAACTCAGAACTTAGATCAGAGGGTAAATGTTTACCTTTTTATAAGAAGCAACTTTCAGACTCTTCGGGCTGTGCTAGAAAAAGAAGAGAGTGCCTTAGGTTTGATTGTAGCTGGGAGAATTTAGGGAGATAAGTAGCTGGAAACATTTGATCAGCACCTTGAAGGATAAATACGATTTCACAAAGAGTGGTAGAAAAGTATTTCTGGTTGGCACCTGGAAGGGATAGGAAATACCACAGAGATTAGAAGGTAGTCCCATGTGGGTAGACTTCAGTGTAGAAGAACAATAGAAGCTGTTCTAGTGAGGGGATAGACAAGGTCAGATTATAAAAGGCCTTGCATAGGTTTGAAATTTATTCTTCATTCTGTAGGTGGTAGGTAGCCATTGAAAGCTTTTCAACAGAGAAAAGTTTGTGTCATAATTAGAGCTATTAGAGAAATGACTCTGGAAGCCCTGGGAAAGATGAGCTAGAGGGGAAAGGGAGGGAACTAAAATTCTGTTAGGTGGGAGCATCGCTAGGTTTACCGTGATCCTGGATAGAGATCTATTTGGACTGAAGTGATGGAAAGAAAAGTTTGATTTGACAAAACTTTTGGACTTGGTAATGAATTGGACTGTTAGAAGGGGAAAGAAAAGAGGAGAGGCCAAAGTTGATTTTATTGTTTTAATTCTGGAGAACTGGTGGATGGTGGTGTACCGATTCATGCAAATAGAGGCTATAAGGGACTAATGCAAATGGAGAAGCAGGGCTTAGGCTTGGGTTGGTGGAAGAGTAAATAGAATTTGTTGCTTATAACAGGGCAACTGTATAATCAGGCAATTGTATACTCAGATCTGCAGGTCCAAAGATGTCAGTGATTAAAATACAAATTTGGAAACCATCTTAATAGAGGTGATCACTAAAACTGTAGGGATAGTTGGATTCAAGCAGGGAAAGAATAATAATAACATGATATTAAGAGACAGGTATTTGGGAACCCTGTCACTTCAGTGGCTTCCTGTTACCTGAGAATAAATCCAAACTACCTGGCTGGCATTCATGACCTTTGAGTCCATCTTGAAAGTGATACTTGTTTTTAGTCTAATCTTTAGATCAATGGTTTTGTAACAAGCCTAGATATTTATGCTATTAGGAGAGCTCAAACCTGAAAGCTTACATGATTTCCTATCA